TGAGCAAAGGCGGCTAATTGGCATCGAATCATCCAAACTTGTTTTAGGCTAAAGAAAATTAATACTTCGATTATTTCAAGCTGTAATCTGGTTTTGTAAGCAGGGGAACAGACACGCGACTCGTGATTACCCCATACCTTACCATTTCAAACCCACTATTACCGTTTATCCATCCAACGACCGTTGGGAAGTAATTTTATTCTTGCCGACGACACTCGGGATAATCCTTACTTCCGATCCAACGACCGTTGGGAACGATCTTACCTTTACAGACCCACTCGACTTATCCATCCAACGACCGTTGGGAAGTACCCTTTATCCCTACCAATTACAATCGGGATAACTTACTTCCGATCCAACGACCGTTGGGAACGATCTTACCTTTAACGACCCACTCGACTTATCCCTCCAACGACCGTTGGGAAGTACCCTTCATCCCTACCGATTACAATCGGGATAACTTACTTCCGATCCAACAACCGTTGGGAACAATCTTACCTTTAACAACCCACTCGACTTATCCATCCAACGACCGTTGGGAAGTAACCTTTATCCCTACCGACTACACTCGGGATAACCTTACTTCCGATCCAACGACCGTTGGGAACGATCCTACAGTTAACGACCCACTTGATTTATCCTTCCAACGACCGTTGGGAAGTAACCTTTATCTCTACCGACTACACTCGGGATAACCTTACTTCCGATCCAACGACCGTTGGGACCGATCCTACCTTTAACGACCCAATCGATTTATCCATCCAACGACCGTTGGGAAGTAACCTTTTATCCCTACCGACTATACTCGGGATACCTTACTTCCGATCCAACGACCGTTGGGAACGATCCTACAGTTAACGACCCACTTGATTTATCCTTCCAACGACCGTTGGGAAGTAACCTCTATCCATACCGACTACACTCGGGATAACCTTACTTCCGATCCAACGACCGTTGGGAACGATCCTACAGTTAACGACCCACTTGATTTATCCTTCCAACGACCGTTGGGAAGTAACCTTTATCTCTACCGACTACACTCGGGATAACCTTACTTCCGATCCAACGACCGTTGGGACCGATCCTACCTTTAACGACCCAATCGATTTATCCATCCAACGACCGTTGGGAAGTAACCTTTTATCCCTACCGACTATACTCGGGATACCTTACTTCCGATCCAACGACCGTTGGGAACGATCCTACAGTTAACGACCCACTTGATTTATCCTTCCAACGACCGTTGGGAAGTAACCTCTATCCATACCGACTACACTCGGGATAACCTTACTTCCGATCCAACGACCGTTGGGACCGATCCTACCTTTAACGACCCAATCGATTTTTCCATCCAACGACCGTTGGGAAGTAACCTATATCCCTGCCGACTACACTCGGGATACCTTACTTCCGATCCAACGACCGTTGGGAACGATCCTACAGTTAACAACCCACTCGAATTATCCATCCAACGACCGTTGGGAAGTAACCTTTTATCCCTACCGACTACACTCGGGATAACCTTACTTCCGATCCAACGACCGTTGGGAACGATCCTACATTTAGCGACCCAATCGATTTTTCCATCCAACGACCGTTGGGAAGTAACCTATATCCCTGCCGACTACACTCGGGAAAACCGTACTTCCGATCCAACGACCGTTGGGAAATAACGTCATTTTCTCCGACCTATTAATCAGGATTAACCGGACATTAAAATCCCAACCGATTCCACGATCCGGTTAAAAGTTATCTTACCACCTTGCAAATCTTATTGTTGGTTATGTGGGCTGTGATGAGACCGAAAACGTAAATTGTTGGACATCGTCCTAAACGTCACGGGTCTGAGCCTTAACCAACAAATAAAACCAAACCTTGGCTTGCTGAGCTTTTTGGAAAAATTTTAAGTGTAAACGGCTTTACCAGGTGACAAGAACGTTGTCGACCAGATAAGTGTTACAATAGCATTAATCATGGGACTTTATTACATAAATTGAAATTGTTTGGGATTGAAGGGAAAGAATATAATTGGCTTAGTACATATTTATGTAACCGACAACAGTTTGTAGAAATTTTAAATTTAAATAACAATAGATTGCTCAAATACAAATCCACTCTTAAACAGGTAATAAGAGGTGTTCCTCAAGGGTCCATATTAGGACCTTTGTTATTCACATGCTACATAAAAGACATGCCAAAATTACATAATAATTATAGCTTATGTCTTTATGCTGATGACGCTAATCTTCAAATAAATGGGCACTCTATTGAGGAGGTTGAGTTGTCATCATTTTCAAACCTGGCTCTTTTAAATCAGTTTTTCCAAAATAATAGTTTAGTACTAAACTCTGCTAAAACAAATTTCATTGAATTCAAAACTTATCAAAATAATAAAAATATGCTGTCACCTACCATCATTCTAAATGAAACTGAATTAGAGAAGGTGTATGAATCTAAATTTTTAGGATTAACTATAGACAGCAACTTGTCTTGGAACAGCCATGTCAATAATCTAGTTTCTAAATTAAACTCTGGGGTATATGCACTAAGGAGGCTCTCAAAAATTTGTTCAACAGAGACTCTGAAAATAGTGTATTTCGCCTATATTCATTCAAATATCGCCTTTGGTCTTTCATTATATGGGGCAACTTCCATTCAAAATTTGAACAAAATACTAAAAATTCAGGAACAATCAATTCAGATTAGCCTTTATTAAAATTAAATTATAATGAATCGGTAAAACTCTTTTTTTTCTAAAATTGGTATCATGACTGTATATGCAATGTACATTTATGAAACTATAATTTATGTGAAAAACCGTCAGGACCAACTTCATTTTGTTGGAGATACTCATAATTATAATACAAGATTCAGGAATAGAATTGGCATTGACAAACATAAACTTGGATTTTATGAAAAAAACCAATGTATATGGGGTCAAAATTTTATAATATGTTACCAAAAGCCATTAAATCTGAGAAAAATATTAATAAATTAAAAAATCAACTAAAAAAATATCTTATTGATTTAACATTATATTCTTTCTCCGAATTCCCATGTAAAAATGATGTGTAAAGAAAGTTTTTAGTTCTGTTTTTCTTTTCATGCATATAACTATATCTTTTGTTTTGACAGCCTTAGTATTAACCAATCTTAGTTATAATGTATCTTAGTATTCATTAATATTGACACCATTCTATGTACAGAGTACGGTACTAATATTGAATAAAGATTTTATTGATTGATTGATTGATTGAAACGTCATCATCGTCTTCTCCGCGATCGCAGCAAAATCTCGAAAATTCCCGACTTTGATATCAAATTTAAGACTAAATCCCGACTTTTCAAGACCATTTTCAAATTCAATACTAATTCCCGACTTTCCCGATTTTCCCGGCTACTAGACACCCTGCTTACATGTTGCAAAGTCTCTCAATAATAATTGGGTCTCACAGCAGCAAATGATTACATGCTTTGTAATCAAATAATTATTGTGATATTTTGTTCAGGCCAATGTTCAAGTATAAATAAATCAAACTCTTTCATAGCATCACTAGATTTCTTCTGAAATTTACTTTTGACACATAGTCAGTAATTGTGTGCAAGTACTTAGATTAATTATATCTGCTTATAAAACCTCCTTAAGTTCTTTACAATCAATTTTACTCGTAATATTTCAACAAAACTAACATAGCAATATGTGGCAACAGCGGGTGTGATGTTCGGCACTAGGGTGAGTCATTCCTTTATCCACTCCTGGCGGATAGAGCGAGGTAGCGATGGCCTGTTTTCAGAGCCTTACTTCAACCTCAGCGCGCAATCCAGGGAGTTATTATACATCGATGTGCAAAACATATTCACAGGTATTACAGCGTTTACATGAGGCGATTATCGATGTCCCCAAGACTGCAGGACATGATCACGGGTGTTGCCCTAATTACATGAGATGATTACTGGTGTCGCAGAGATTGCAAGACAGACATTCACAGATTTTGTCACCGTTTTATCACCAGCCGAAGGTGATGATTACTGATGTTGACGAGACTGCAAGAAATATTTACGCGTGTTGCCGTGGTCGAAGGAGATGATTACTGATGTTGCCGAGACTGCAAGACATGTTCACGGGTGTTGCCGTGGTCGCAGGAGACAATTAAAAGTGTCGTTGAGGCTGCAAGACATGCTCACGGGTGTTGTTGTGGTCGCAGGAGACAATTACAAGTGTCGTTGAGGCTGTAAGACATGCTCACGGATGTTGTCGTGGTCACTTGAGACGATTACTGATGTCTGGAAGACAAATTTTTCTCCTCCCGGTATCCGACCTTATGGCCGTTGTGACAAGGGGCCGTCATGGTTGGATATGAGGGGCGTACTACAATCTTTTTAGCATTTACCGGTACCTAGCTTGTTTTTTTCTTGCTGGATATTTAACTATTATTTTATTTCATTGTATTTGTCTCTTTTTTTATCCTCTACTTTCAATTCATAATGAGATTTAGTAGTTTTTATTTCAAGCAATGATTGATTTAATTCTTTATTTTCACACAGAATGACACTGCCTATTAATAAAAACATTGGCCACTGAAATAAAAACATAATTTTCATCAAATTAAGAGAATCTTCTAATTCATTTTCTTCTAATTATGCAAAATTATTAAATATAGCCAAATATTAAATATTAATACCGGTATATATTATTAAATATATTAAAATTATTAAATATAAAGTTAACGTTAAACACTTAGCCTACACCCAGTGTACTTTCTGTTTCGGCTTTGATTCAAAACTGATACAGTGTGACAAGATAATATATATGTTGGTAGGAATAGGTGTCAAATAAAGAGTTTAATTTGATGGTCCAATGTAGTAAGGGTAATACCGAGTTTAAAGTTAAAAATTATGTACTCAGGGTAGACGAGTTCCATTTTTGGGTGACACAGTGACATTTATTAAGCATTTTTATGACTCACACTTGAATGCAAAAATATGAGGGCCATACTTACGATATAAGTACGACAAAAGAACAGGTCCTTTGCTTGAGACAATAATAGCTCGGATGTTGTTGAGGATTTCCTCCTTACTCTCATTCCCAGACATCTTGAGGGAATGGTCGTTCTTACTTCACCTGCGTACTACCTTTAACAGAAAGAGTAATGATGATGAACGACTGTTTTCTACAACTTAATCAATAGCTTTTAATTAAACAAGAATATTTGTATTGTAGTATTATAATTTAAAAAAAAGAATATTTGGTTTTAATTGTTCTTAGTCAGATAATAGGTGTACTATGGTGACCAATATACCTCAGAGAGGCCTACTTCAATAAATGAAAAACAACATCTCGACAATAAGATTTCATTAATGGATGCATTAAAAAAGGAAATGTATAGGCTACAGTGGAACGTATTTAACTCAAACTTCCTTTTTACACTCCTCAAAGCCAAGTTTACACAATATCAGTCAGTGAGACAGTTGTCTAAGCCAATCGCCATCATGTGATTGTGGAATTATCTTAGGCCAGTTGTCCTCAGTCTACTCCCAGAGACAACTGAATTTCAGGGCTATTGTGAGGGCAAGTGGCAAGGCAATTCGCCTTAAGTGTTTAAAGCACGGAGCTAATAATTTCATACCAGGCAGTTATCTTCTGACAATTGTCTCAACTGTAACGCCTGTAGTGAAGTGAACAGTTAACTGTTAAATTACATTCATTCCGGTGTGTTTTTTTATTTTTTTGTGATGGAATTATCAATTTCATTCTTAGTATGTTGGTTACTCATCACTAAATTAAAATTATACGTACAATTACTAAAAAAAGTGGTGTCATATTTCGAGCTTTCATCAAAGATCATCTTCAGCCTTGTAACAACATAAACAGGTAAATAAAATATGATTTTTATAATGTTTGTTTAGAAATAAACACATGTTTTAATACAATAAGGGACAGAATTTAAATTTTCACTCTAATAGCCTAAATAACGTAAAGGTGGGGATAGCACAAGGCTTATTTTACAGAGTATTTAAAGTATCAGCCCTCCGCCTCAGATGAGAAAACTTATGATAGGAAACAATAAAGGGCACTCCAAAATTGTTCAGGTGGTACCCAATGATGGGTTGGACCTGCCTTCAGATCACATGTCCAAAAAATACTCACTTATGGAAAGCCTTTCAAAGTACTAAATACCAGATAGGAAGGATTGGTCTTGTGGAAAAGGGCCCTGTCCCCACAGGTGATTTAGAATGCTATACACTGATGGTTCTAAGATCAAAAATGGGAGCACTGGAGCAGGTGGGCATTGGATAAATGAAGGCACTGGCATTTGTCTTCCCATGGGGGTGTACCCAACTGTTTTTCGTTTCTAGGTAAATGCTAGCCTATCTTAAGGCATGTTACCTACACGTTACATGTTGATCGGCTCTAATATTGCACAAGACCCAGTTTTAAATCGATATTGACTAATAGGCTACCATCATTGAATGGTTTGCCTTTGTTGGAAAAAGTGGCATTGCATCATCTGTGTTTGTATCCATAAGAGTGCTGTTGGAGGTTAATTGTCCTGTGTTTCTACAATTTGTATTGTGTTTTACAAGTGATTTTGTTTCTGAAAATGAGTTACTGTGTGATAATTATTTCTTATTTGATTGGTAACTATGGATTAAAAGTAAATAATGTATTTATTTGAAAGTCAATAATTAGGACTTAAGTGATAAAAGTAGGCCTATGAGCTTAGGCCTAAGCCTAAAGACTTTTTCAAAAAAGCACCACTGTGAGCTGATTTTTTGAGGTAAGACATTCAAATTTTGCCAGTTTACTAACAAATATGTAGAACACATAGGCTATATCTAACTTAACACTTACTTATAAGAAATATTTTTTCCAGGTGTAGTTGCTGACTGATGAATTTAATTTTTAGGCCTAAGTTATGTATTTTTTCGTACATTGCGAAACATGTTTTTAATATGTAGGCCTAGGAAAAAAAAATCTCACCCAATAAATTGTGATACGGTACCTATTATTTTAAAGATAAATTTAGGTAGGGGAGAGTGGGGCACATTTGAACGGTTTAAATTTGCCGTCATTTTTATACTCGCAGGCCATTGGACCAGCTGTAAAATGTAATCCTCCAATAGGACAACAGGTTGCATTCATCTTCCTCCATTTCTGATCAGTTCTTAGTTTGTTGTTGGGAAAAGAAGTTTTAGAGCGCCACAAGAAAACTTTTTCAGCAGTAGGGATTTGTAGATTTTCAATAGAAAAACTACATCACAGATAATTTTTATCCATTTACCATATGGCTTTTATGTATTTAGATACAATTATGCACTTCACATTGATAAATTACAATTCAAGAAAACATAATTTAACATTTTGCAAAATGGTGCATAGTGGGGTGGATTTGAACAGAGTCTGAGGGGGACATTTGAATATACCATGTTTTCCTCAGGTAAGCATGTTGTTAAAATGTACCCCAACTGATTATAAATTACGGTATTTGTTTCCTATACAAGACAGTAATGAATAATAAATACCCCCGTCGCAGCAAACCTGCATACTAAGCGAATTTCCATTTACCCGGCTTGATTTCTACTAAAATATTCCCTATAAATTTTCAGATTTATTTCCTATTTAAATAACATTAATTTTAGTAAGTAGTTAGGTTTGCTGCTATGGGGAAGATGTTGAGGTGTGTTTTTTCAATTGAAATATTGATAGCTTAGTATGAAATAAGCCAAATTGCCAAATTTGATTAAAATATATCCATAAAAAAGCAAACTAGAACAGTTTATTTATTCTCCATAAGAATAACATGGGAATTTTAAATTTACAATTTTTTAAATTTTCTCCGTAGTCAATGAACATTCAAAAAAACTTCAATATACTAAATTATTAGTTTTTTTAAGCTCTTCAAAATGGTCTAGAGAGAAATTTAGAAATTTAAAGTTTTTAGGGTCAAAAATTAGAAAAACCCATTTTTACCCCATAAAACCCCCCATAAACCCCTGATCCCATTGTCCGATTATGCTGGTTCGCGAACTCGTTCGAATAAATGTAGGTTTACACGTTTGTACCAAATTTCATCAAAATCGGATCAATTTTGCTCGAGTTATCGCGCTAACGGACACATATATAAATATATATGAAGTTGAACGGATGGTGTTTTTGGCCTCTGGGGACCTCAAAACAAAAAAGTAAATCGGTCCCGGGTCTAGGTTTTACCATGAGACCTACGGTAATAGCTTAAGTTCTTATTCCCTATATGGGAAATTCGCTAAAATGTAAGACTATAATCTTCCTCAACCAATGAGTGTGAGAACTGCAAGTGCTGCGAACGAATATAATTTTGCTATTCCTTTGCAACATTTAGGTAACTTAGCTACCGTACAAATAATGTGAATCTAAAACATTAATTGAATAATTAGTTACAATAGAAATAAGAACTGTTTTTATCAACCCACATGCATTTAAACAATTTCTGTAAAATACAAATTTTCATTTTACTCAATTAGTGTGTTCAATTTTACCCCACCAGTGGGATAGTATTGAACGATTTGCATACCTTTGTGCAAACAGATATTGCCAATAACTTGGAGGGTTAATTAAAATAACTAAATTAAAGATAACATTATGTCACAACTGTACGTAAGTAATTATGTTTTTATTAAAAACCTATAGGCCTAAAATTCACCTAAAAAATTAAAGTTTAAAAAGTGTTCAAATGAGCCCTACTCTCCCCTATAGCCTAGGTAACTAATCTAACAAATACCCCCGCCGCAGTAAACCTGCCGACTAAGCGAATTTCCAGTTGCCTGAATTGATTTTCAATTAGGCCTAAATGTATTTAATTAACATCAAGTAACTTAGACCTAGGTTTTTTATAAGTAGGGGACCTATATAGGCTTGCTGCTACAGGAAGGGTAAAAAAGTGTGTTTTAAAGTTATTAATAACTTAGTAGGCTATAAAAAAATAAATAAATTTACCAAGTTTGATCAAAATATATCCATAAACAAGCAAACTACAACATTTTACAACACTTTGCTATACTAAATTATTTATTTTTTTAAGCTCTTTAAAGAGGTGTGGAGAGAAATTGGGAAATTTTGTGTTTTGAGGGTCAAAAATTAGAAAAACCATTTTTTACCCCATAAAACCCCATTCCCATGGTCCGATCATGCTGGTTTGCGAACTCATTCAAGTTTATCCCGCCTTACACCTTCAAACCAAATGTCATCCAAATCTTACAAAAATTAATGTATGTAGGCCTATTCAAGTTAACTTATCGTGTTTACAGATACATTTGATTTATAGGTTTGGGGTACAGTTTCTTAACTGGGCTATGATAATATCTATTGAAACTATCGATTCGATTAGTAAACCTTCATGCGATTTTTTCACCATCAGCAAGTTTGGTTGGTTAGGTTAGGTTATGATAGTTTAATTTTATAATAGGTCTAAGATAGGTATAGCCTATTTAAAAATATCGATTATTAATCAATATTTTCAATTCGATAGTTTAAATCGATATTAGCATAGCCCAGTTAAGAAACTGTACCCTACGTTTGTTTGACATTAATATTTTGCATGGTTTGCTGTGTTGAGTTTTGTCAGAAGTGCCAGGTGGTTTTAATTGCAATGGATTACTATTATGTTTATTTTTCAGGAATAGCCTGAAATATTATTTTAGTTTAATATGTTAGACAAAGCCTAGGCCTTTTGTAATCAACTTAATGAATGGCCGAAATAAATCTTGGCTACCAGTGGTCATGTTAGATGTGGGAAGCAATTTAATTTAACCAAGATTATTGGGCCCCAAAATTCCATAATGAAACTATCATAACTAAACACACTATATAGTTTTCTACAATTGTAAAGGCAGCAAATCATTAACTATTATTTAAGAAAGCATTTCAAAACGTGTCACATTTCTAGGCTGATTGGACATTCGGTGTTCTACCATTTTCGGGATAAGGATTTTTTCTCAATTACTAAACTCAAAACAAAATATTTATAAAAGATAATTTGCAAATGAGGACAAAATTGGTATAAAATTAAAAACTTACAATGTTTCTTCGGAAGGTACGGAAAAATAAATCGTTCGCCAATAATAAAATCACCATTAGCTTAGCTTTACTTTCCATTCGACCATTCCATAAATTCCATTCCAATCCATTTGTTTTGTTGGTAGGCCTAGCCGCACAATTTTTATTTCAGCTGCAGTTATTTTAATAAGAACAAAATGAGAGCATTCTATTGGCTGAGGGAACACCATTATCGCAATGAAACGAGTTGAAGCCATCGGCCTCGGTGGTCTAGTGGATAGCGTGCTAGGCTTCGAATCTAATGGAACCGGGTTCGAAACTCATCGGGTGCACAAACTTTTTGTCTAAGATTTTTGCATTATCAGCAAGTTTGGTTAGTTTTGTTAGGTTATAACAGTTAAATTTTATAATTAAAACCTTATAAAATTGAATTTGAACTATTTATAGTTTTATTTTATGAACAGAACTATTTTTTCGATTAGTAAACCTTCATTGAATTTTTTCATTATCAGCAAGTTGGGTTAGTTTGGTTAGGTTATGACAGTTTAATTTAAAAAAATATAAAATTTAATTTGAGGCGTTTATAGTTTTATTTTATGAACAGAACTATTTTTTCTATTAGTAAACCATTATTCAATTTTTTCATTATCAGCAAGTTTGGTTAGTTAGGTTAGGTTATGACAGTTTAATTAAAAAATTAATTATATATTTTTTTTAGTTTTAGGCCTATAATAATTTTTTTTTAAATTTCTAATTTTTAAACTCTTATTTTGTCCGTATTAAAAAACTGCAGCTGAAATAAAAATCGTGCGGCCTAGCCTATTGGTTTGGTTTTTGGTTGGACTTGTTCCTTAATCCTTGGTTCCTCGTAGTGACTTTGTTTTGATTCCGTTCCGTTCCGGTTCCACCATGCGTGGGGTCCCAGATTATCGACATTCCAAAAGATTGACACTGAAATTGTGCCATCTTGTCGACAACTTAAAATAGAAAAGATGTCGATAAGATGGGATGTCAGTTATTTGGGATGACAAGATGCGGCCATTGAGATAAATAGATTATAACTGGAGTCACTACTCTCTGGTTAAACGGGATAAACTGTCATGTTTGCTGACGACTCAGTACTGTTAACATTGACTATATATCAAATATATCACTCATAGTGAATGCTGTTAACCAGCAACTCATCTGCCGAAACTTTAATTGGAGATTGAAAGTTTCATTTCAATCAACAGAGCCAGGGATTACTGTTTCAGCAATGATCTTGTGTTTAACGAGAGCAAAACACAACAACTTTTCTTTTGAAGGTTAAAGAATGAAGTGTCGTCTCCTCCAGAAATTGAAACAGCTCTATTCATCAAATACCTTGGCGTAATCTTAAACAACTTGCGATGGGATATTTATTATTATTTATTTATTTTGTATACGGCAAACACCATTTTACATTGCAATTATATAATATACAGATGGCTAAAAAAAGATGACGTAATAATACATGCAACCATTACAACTATCTATATGCATGTGGACTCTCTGTCACAAACTCAGTTCTTCCCTCTTTGCTTTGGCGGATCAACCATGTCGCTACACCTGAAGCTACTCGTTCGGCCTACCACGCTTTGGTCGAGTCCCATATGAGATATGGGATTGTTCTATGGGGGAATTAATCTAAAGAGAACGTGAGTCGGGTTCTCACCTTGCAGAAAAAAGCCATTAGAGTTCTCGGAGAAGAGATCTTCAGTGGAGAGAAAGCTGCAGGAACACCTTCTTGCTTCAAGGCACTCAAGATTTCCAACTGTGACCACTATATATATGCGAAGTAGTTGTGTATGCAAGCAGTCAAGACCTCCTCTAGAACGCTGATGTACATCCACACAACACAAGAAATGCTGGAAACTACAACTTACATGAGACTTCAAGATACTCCAGGAAGCCGTCGTACGTCGGGGCCAAGCTCTTTAATCTCCTTACTTCGACCATTAAGAATGGAAACTCACCCAGTCCCTTAAGAAGAGGATGCTACACTGGATGCGTGTAAGCCCTGTCTATATACCATCGATGAGCTCATTGCACTCTGTGGAAGTAGACTTTGACTTTTGTCAAAAATAGAATTTTAGTTGTTTATTCTCTCTGTCTCTCTTAAACATAGGATAAAACGCGCCACTGTTTTTGCTGGTTTGTTTTCAGTGTTTCGAGTTATTAGGTTGGCCGTGTGATCGGTCGGTTGGTGGGATGCTGTCAAATTCCGATTCATTCTAACCTAACTGAATCTTATGCCCGTAATATACTCCCGAACGTGTGAGTTTAGTCGCGCGTTAATTATAGTTAATGAGTAAAATCTCGGACAACTAGAAAGGAAATGTTAACTGCAACGAAATACTCGGTTACAGCAATGCGACGGTTTTCTCCGAATTTACAATAAATGTCAATAAGTTCGGCAAGAAACAACACCATGAAAGTTTTACAATAACGTTTGCTTAATTAATGAATTAGTGCAAGTAGTATTTTGGTTGGAGCACATACAGTACCTGATATAATACTACTCCACTTTTGGACCTTGGTAAGTTGTGGCTGCTGGTACAGGGCCTCTCAGCAACGTGGTCCAGGGATCAGCAAAGGGAGTTGACTCAGCAGGGGGGGGGAAGGCACCTTCTATTCTATGGGAACTGAAGCGACGTTCTTGGGGGGGGGGGGGTGATGACGATGGTACAGTCACAAATGGCACAAGATGACACATATGCACTTCTCTCCAAAATAAACTTGCACTTATAAAAAAATAGTGCACTTAATAATAAAACCAACCCTTTGAAGGTATTGTACTTAAAAGTAAATGAAACTGCCATTTTTCAACAAAAGCCACAAGTCTCTGCACGATCTCAGCGTGTTCGAGTGAAAGGTCAAATAAAATAAAATCACTGTCTAAAAGAACTAAAAAGCAATTTTTACAAAGTATTATGTATTTGAACCGGAAAAATATATACTTTTGCGGTAATTGCAGTTCGATAATTCATGGCCATGCAGCACAGGAGTTGCCGGGACACGATGATACATACGGAAGATAGAACTGACCAAGTGGCGTCTTTCCCTCTCCACTAACATTGAAATTGACCATAATCTATATCTCAATGGATTTTTAGTCCTTGGTGGTAATAAATGAAGATTTGAACAGATTTTAGTAGTAGGCTATATAGCGTAAACTATCGTACGTCACTCGTCCAAAATGTGTTTACCGGACTCCCGTCCGCGAGGACGAGTTCCTTGACGCGGTTAGTTACATGATGTCGGTGGATGTGTTTACCGGACTCGTATGGTAATCCCGTACTCGACTTCGTCTCCAGAGTTAAAGGAAAGAATGATGTTATAAAAAATGAATGAAATTGCATACGAACTTCATAAACTTGCAAGAAAGAATTTCATTAGAAGGTCTTTTAAAGTATTAGGTATAAATGAAACCGTACAATAGATTTAATTGATATGCAAAACTATGCTAGAGAAAATTCTGGCAATAAATATATTTTAACTTTAATAGATACATTTTCTAAAAAAGCTTATGCTGCTCCGCTAAAAAAACAGGGTTAGTGGTTACAGAAGCCATTAAAACCATTCTACCAAAGGGGGTTAAAAATATTCAATCTGACAATGGAAACGAATTTTCTAATCAATATTTTAGCAAACTAATGAAAAAGTAAATATTAATCACTATCACACATTTTCTACAACTAAGGCTGCAATTGTGGAGAGGTTTCAGAGAACTTTAAAGAATTGGTTATATAGGGAATTTAGTGCTCAGGGGAGTTATAAATGGTTGGATTTACTTCCAAAGTTAATTCGAAAATATAATTATAAGGTGCATAGATCTATAGGTACGAAGCCTAACCAAGTGAATATTAAGAATAGTAAATATGTGCATGAGAGGTTGACTGCTAAAGTAGTGCAAGTTAAAAAGCCAAAGATATAAGGTAGGTGATAGTGTGAGAATTTCTAAGTATAAACATGTTTTTAGTAAAGGATATACCCCGAATTGGACAGGGGAGCTATTTACAATAGCAGAAGTTAAGAATACAAAGCCTGTGACTTACATCTTGAAAGATGAAAATGGCAATATAATCAGAGGAGGATTCTACACAGAGGAGTTGTTAAAGACCAAGTATAAAGACATTTGGTAGAGAAGGTAATTAGGAGTAAGGGTGATTTATTGTATGTCAAATGGCTTGGGTTCCCAAGTAGCCAGAATTCATGGATTTCTACTAAAGATACCATTCCACAGCCCCACCACTAGAGGCAAAAAGTAGGAGCCCGACAATGGGTCGGGAGCATGCCCGCGACCGGGAGCACGCCATGAGCCCGGAGCGCGCCCGAGTTTGCGTACAAACCTCGCTCGATTTTGAGAATATACATGTGAATGGATGTGGATTTCAAATAGTAATGGAGTTGTACAATGTTATTGAACATTTATATAGGCTTGTATAGGCCGTGGGCAGGATTTTTAAAAAATTGGCTAAAAATGCCCACCATGTTATTCTTATGGGGAAAACATGCCTAAAGTGGGATATCTTTGCTAGTTCGCCACTACTTTACATTTACACCTGTAAGGGTCAATAAATATAAGAAATAGCTTTTTTAGCTTGATATCGAATATATTTATGGGGAATAAGTAAGAAATAAGGTTTGACAATTATATAGGGATGTTAAGGTAAAGATCAGGATTTTTGGAATTGGTGGCCAAAAAATGATCACCATGTTATTCTTATGGGAAAAAACGCCCCAAGTGATGTTAAACCGGTAGTTCACCACTACTAACTTATAATTTTTAATTATAAAATTAATTTTAAAATTTAGTATTATAAAATTAAATTCTCATAACATAACCTAACCAACCAAACTTGCTGATACTATAAAAAAAGATATAAGATAAAAATCGAATAAAGGTTCAATATTAAAAAAAAAGTTCTGTTCATAAATAAAATTATAAATGCATCAAATTCTAACAAAAGATGTAGGCCTACAGTTAAGAAGTATTCGCATTCTAAGTAAAAATCGTTGACAAAAAGTTAATGTCCCCGGCAGGTTTCGAACCCGGGACTTTCTGAACACCAAACCGAAACGCTGGCACCTATGCCACGAATGCCGCTGAAAT